TTTGAGAAAACCGCTGAGCTTGACAGATTCCCCCGCTTTCCCCCCTCCCCGCCCGTACGTGCGCGCCGGCTCCGTGCGCGCCGTCTGGAGCGCCCGCGGCCGCGCACAAAGAAACGCGCCCGGGCGCGGGCTGTGACGGACCGCGGCGGGGACCAATGGGCGGGGCGGGGCCTTGTGACGTCACCGAGAGCTGCCCAATCAGCGGTGGGAGTGGGTGTTGCGACGTTTGAACTCCCCCGGGGGGAGGGGCGCGCCTTTTTTTTTCCCCTCGGTTTTTATTCTCCTTTTTTTTTTTTTTCTCCTTTTTTTTCCCTTCTCCTCCGTACTCTTGTAAGTGCTTGACAGAAGTAATTTTAGCAGCGAGAGAGAATAAAAACTGGGGGCAGTAAATCCCTGTCCAGGAACCTCTTGTGTAGATTCTTTATGGACCCAGAATTGATCGGCGTGTCAGATCCTGATGTAGTTTCAACTGTTTATCACCCTAATGGTGGTAGAGAGACCATGAACATCAACTTATAATCCTCCATGAAAGAAATTGGTGTTTGCAGTCAATGAAGAAGCAGCTCAGCTTTATTGATAGATTTGAAACAATTACTGCTGCTCCAGCTATTGGCCCAGAGGTTTTCCTGGATCCCACTGGAAGCCTGTGATGTTTTTTCCTCTGATAAATCTCCTCCTTGATGTTTTGCTTTTTTTTTTTTTCCTTCTTTTATCACCCAGAATTATCTCTAGTTGCTCATTGCTGGGGAACAGGAGGGTTCCTGGTCTCAGGAGAGCAATTTGTGACCTGTTTGGGTGTTAAAGTTCTGTTCTGGATTGTGCATCCCACAATTCCTCCTCTGTAAATCCAGCTGTTATTTTCATAAAATCACAACATTTTTACAGTTGGAAAAGCCCTCAAATACCATCAAGTCCAACCCTTAACCCAGCACTGCCAAGCCGACCACTAATTCTGTTCCTAAGTGCCAAATCCAAACATTTTTTTGCACACTTCCAGGGATGATGACTGCACCCTTTCCCTGTGCCAGTGCCTGACCCCCCTTGCAGTGAGGAAGTTTTCCTGCCAGGAGGGGACAGCCAGGGAGGTCGGAATCTGCTCCAGGGAACAGGGACAGGAGGAGAGGGAACGGCCTCAGGCTGGGCCAGGGCAGGCCCAGGGTGGACACCAGCAGGAATTTCCCCATGGAAAGGGTGCTCAGGGCTTGGAATGAGCAGCCCAGGGAGCTTTTGGAGTGCCCATCCCTGGAGATGCCCAAGGATGTCCTGGACATGGCACTCAGTGCTCTGGACTGGGGACAGTGACGGTTTGGACTCAGTGGTCTTGGAGGGTTTTTCCAATTCCATGATTTTAGTGGTGCTGATACCGTTAGAGAGGTGGGTCTGTCTGCTCTCCAGTCTTCACAGTTTGTGCATCTCTGAGGAACCTGACAGACAGACCCCCAGTTCTCCAGCAGAAGTTTTTGTGGTGCCAGGAACTACAGGCAGCTGCCTTACAGAAGTGAGATTTGTGAGCCATCACTCTGAGAAGACCAAGGATGTCATTTCCTACCTGGGGATGAAGCAGCAGCTTGGTCATTCTCTTTTTAAATGTCCTGTTTTATCGTTTGGCTTCTGTGCCCTGAGACCATCAGAAGGAAGGATTCAGCATTCAGCTCTTCTGACAGAGCACTGCAAACAGGACTTTGCATGGGACGGGGCTTTCTGGTCTCTGGACTTGTAAATTGTCATTTGAATTCCAGCACGATGTAAGATTCTGCTGTAAATCAAATATCTGTTTAAATATCATCCACTTAGGCTTTATCACTGTACAATTGCTTGTACGGGCCATTTGAGCTCGGCTGTAATTTATGGAAGTTGTAATACCTGGTGTCTTCTGAGTTTCTAACAGTTTGGTGTTAGGGTTTATTAATGTAAAATTGAGTTCTCACTGTGCCATGGGGTGTGAGAGGTCGCTGGAGT